GTAAGACCGATACTGAGGCATCCGACGTCGTGGCAACTTAACGCAGTCCGCATTATAATAAGTCTCCTGCTGATGAGGCGATGAAAGTCGTGGAGGTTCATACTCAAAAAGCAAGGATCTTTATCGAACTCGCTCGTGCGAAATGTGAGACCTCATTAAAGCCTGGTTCAGTACTTGGGTGGTACGTACAGAAGGTTCGGTTATCTTTTTTCAGCAGTGCTGAACTTTTCTTGCCACTGGGACACGGTGAATATGGACGAAGCGAAGTGAGGTAGATTAAACAAACACCACCACAAATGAACAAATACGTTCCTGTGCAAGTCACCACTGTGCCCTCTCCGGAGAAGTTACAGTCACCAGTACTCGCATAGAACGTGACTATCGTGCGTGCGTGCGTGTGTGTGTGAGTGTGAGTTGTCAGTTATAAGACAGAAGAAACTTACCAGAACCGGAGTGAACGGAAGCTGTGCCAACGGGGCGGGAAAAATGCGGCATATTGGAGGCAGACTGCGAGGGTGGCCCAACCACACTACTGGGAAGCTGGGGAGGTCCGTTGAGGACAGTGGTTGGCTTGTTCATGGGAGTGATCTGATTGGAGGATGAGGAGGGAGGACCGAGGGCACTTCGCAGCTTCTCCGAAGAGCAAGATGAGGAAGAAGATGAGGAGGACGAACTGCCGGAGGAGCCTGACGTGCTCTGGGAACCGCCGAGCCCTCGGGAGACAGCGGTCAGGGCCTCTGACGTCAGACCGGACTGGTGTACGTGGCTATAAAGTAGACAGTGAAGGATATAGCGACTAGAAGAAGATCAGGGGACATGTGATTATCTTACCACGTTAATTATAGATAGTAAAAACTTGTAAAACCAATGTGCAGCGCACAAAATGCTTATGTCCACAATTTATCGTCTGCGATATGTTAGAAGTCCACAAACTCGCACTGAATTGGTTTAGAGAAATTGTTTAAGGAACTTGGTTGCTTACGATGAGAAAATACTTACTGATAGTACAATAAGCGTTACTTATGTAAACGAACGATTAT